TGTCCCTAGTCTGGCTCCCACATCTTCCACAGAATCGAACTTGCAGCACCTAGGGAGGAGGAGCATTCAGAATAGGGGGYWTAGAAAATCAGTTATAGTAGAATCTTGGACGAAAGTCCGATTCCGCTGTATCCCCCCCGCGATCCTCATCATCCACGAAGAATACCCAGATTAATAGCCAAGTGCTAATCCTATTTATTCAGACAAGAACGTAGCAGGGGCGGTACCAACCATAGCCACTCCGCCTGCCCCACCAATCAATCACACGTGGCATATTCCTAAAAAAACGCAAGCGGAAATCCAGCTGTCTAGCTCTCACTATCCCACCCCCTCACGCCACCACCCCTTTCCTCGCGTCCTCACCCAGCCTTCCCGTTTGTGGATCCACCCATTCATCCTCGCCACTCGCCCATCCTCCCAATCCACAGTGAGAGAGCACAGGAAGACATCCAGAAGGAGGGGAAGAGGGGAGGGGGGGAGAGATCGCCCAATCGAACTCACCACCTCCTGAGCAGTGTCGCTTTTGTTGTCAATACTGTTTTTGTTGTTGTTGTAAACATCGGAAGGACGACGATCCAGGCCTCCACCCCACCAAATGGCAAGAATCGATGGAGAAGCCTGCCGCACCCTGCGATTGGTCCTGTCAAGAATCGAGGGCGAAGCCTGCCGCACCCTGCGATTGCTCCCATCCAAATCGATGTCACAATTGTTATCAGCAGTAGTGTCGTCCTGGGTGACTTGGATTCGAATGTCATAGTCATCTTCACGGAGAACACCGTCACCGTTATTGTTGCTGTTGTTGTTATTATAGTCGCTTTTGTTGTTGTTGTTGTTGTTGTTGTTGTCGTTGTTGCTGAGGTCATTGTTATTGTTGTCGTTGCTGGTTTCATAGAGATTATTGATAGCACTTGCATCGCTGTCGGCGTCGTCCGTGATGTTGTCCACGTCGTCGTAGTATCGGGCCTCCAACACGGCATGCAGAGCTTGCCCCTCCTCAAGCTCCTCAAAGTGGCGCTGCATCAATCTGTCCACTCGTGGCCAATCCAAGGTCGCATGCAGATGGGGGGGCGGCCCCTCCTCCAACCCCAATGATATCTCCAATAGACCCTGCATCACACTCCTGAGCCACGAAATCGGCGGAACCACCTCCTCAGCAGCAGCCGATCGTAGCTTCGCCACCACATGGCTGACCCGCACGCTAGACTCCTGGGCAGCTGTAAGCTAGTCAACCGCTCCTGTCCGCAGATCGCCCAAAGTCGCAATAGCCAATCAGTATCCAATTGCCGCCCCACGTCACACACCCCTGCACCTGTCTCTTATACACATCTAGATGTGTATAAGAGACAGCCCCTGCACACCCTAGTCACACCCCTGCTTGCTGACTCCGACCTTCTCAAGAGGTCCAAAATGACACGCCACATGGCATGTCATCGAACAGATCGGAGGCCACGTCACCAGGCACGGAAACCGCCCGGATGTGTCGCACAGGGAGTGGGCCGAGCCGTGCCGGCCGATCCCCGGCGGGGGACCAAGGCGCAGGCGGTCGGTAACGCAGTACCAGTCTGCATTTTAGTGCTTTCTTCTTTCTCTCCTCTGCCTTTTCTTATTTATTAATTTTGTTATTTTATTGTTTATCCTGGTCCCGTTTTTGGACCAGGCACAGTACTGGTCCTGGGACCTACAACAGAACCAACGGGCCTAGATCAGTTGGTACACCCACGAACTGTTGAAATGCAGACTTGAGTTCAAATCCAGATTGGGACTGCTTAGTTCCATGATGATATCCCGAGGCCATGACCACGAATTGTCCTTACTACTCAGGGACATCGGTTAAAATCGGAATGGAACACGTGTGATTAGTATGGCCTCGGGCCTGTAAGAGGAACGCGGTCCAACAGGAAAAGGGTTGAGATCTTTTTCTCAGTAACAGTGTGGGACCAGCTGGTCAAACATCGTGTGAAATGTCCCTGCCAGCATCGGGAAGGAAGGAGAGCGACGAAGATGCACACAGCGGGAAGAAAGGAGAAAGGACGGGAAGGAAGAACCTCAAGGTCTGGCGCACCCGTTCCTCAATGGAATCGGGCAAAGTAAAAGCTGATTTAGGGGATTTGAGGCGAAACACGTGTAATGGCGGTGCTACTTTTCGTCATAGGATAGTGGTTTGGCTGGTGTGAGTGTTAGGAGCTGTGCGGTATAGAGATGGAGGTGACTATGGCGGGGCCAAGAATATGATATCTCCCCCGATTCTCGATGAAATTGAGCGAATGAAGATGCGAAATGAGAGTTTTTAAGCAAGGCGGGATAGATGGTGAAGGCGGATTTAGAGTTTGGGCAACGAGACTGGCAATATGGCATGCCAAGCTGCACGTGGGAGGAGACGCTTCGAACTGGTGATGTATCTTTCCGTGTTTTAGCGGAACGTCAAGATTCATTCGCATTTTGCACATTTCGTGAGTAGGGCAGCGTGGCCCATTGAAGTGTTCATCATTGCGATCATCATCATCGACACCATGGGCATGATCGTCATCGTCCGGATCATAGTGATCGTCATCGTTTCTTTTGTCAGGTGTTCGTTGTTGGGTGCTGTTCATCTTTGTGTTCAGACAAGTGTACGTCATAGGGTGGTAGTGTTACAGTCACGCCGGCCTCCATCGTGCTCTTCATTGCGTGGTCGCACTGCCCGTTGTCGAAGTCCCAGTGTCGTCGCTCGTGATTGCCTTGCTGCGTGCAATCATTGTGCTGATTCGTTATCGCCTGCGCCGAGTGTTCATTGTGCTCCTACCGCTGGACGTCGTGTTTGTGGGGGGTGTATTTTCCCATGTTCTAGCGGAAGATTCATTCTCATTTTGCACATCAGGTGAGGGGTGGTAGCGCTGCTCGTCGTGGAGATCCTTCTCTAGCTCGCAGTCGCTATCCCGGTCTTATTCCTCCTGGCGTTCTTTTGAGCACTCGCCGTCGTGGTCTTCTCCCCACAACACAAGTGGTGGTCTCAGTGGCTGTCCGTGCGACCGTCCTCGGTGGTCATGGTCGCAGTGGCCTTCTTGATTGTTGCAGCTGATCTCGCACCACGATGGATGCACCTACAAGCGACTACTAGGTGAACCTAGTCAAGATCATTGGTGAGGTGCACTAAGTTAGGAAGGGAGAATACAGGGAAAAAAGGAAGGGAAACAGAAGGGGGACGTCAGGATGAGGAGATAATACTAAATAAATAAATTGCTATGTATTTTTTTGTGATCCAGCTGAAGATTTTCTCTCGTTTTGCGTAGTGGTGGAGGGGGGCGATTTTGGCCATGTGGACAATGCATCTTTCCCTGTTTTAGTTGTAGATTGATTTTCATTCTGCACATATGGGGAGTGGTGGAGCGAGGGCCATGGTTGCAGCCGTCCTGCAACGAGTTTGGGTCCATCCGTGTTGTTCCCGGTCATGACCGCCCTCACTTTGGTCCATCCCGGTTGTTCCTGGTGATGGCTGCCCTCACTCACCATGATCCGCAGGATCTCTCTCTCTCTCTCTCTCTCTCTCTCTCTCTCTCTCTCTCTCTCTCTCTCTCTCTCTCTCAATCTCTCTCTCCCTCGCACGCGCGCACGCGCGTGCACGCGCGACTGGGACCCTCCCCGCGAGCCGCGCCCGCGGGGAGGGTTGCAGTTGCCACCGAGGAGGAGCTGCGCGGCTCGCCGCGGACACACACACACTACGTGACACCGTCGACCGCGGATCCTGCGGCCTAATCATTTCGAACGAAGTTGGTGACAGTTTAGTGGAAATCTACAATGATATCTTGGAGGGGGGGAATCTGTCGACCAGTACGTGCAGAGTATAATCTCTGTCGTGTTCAAAAAAGGCGACCGGACTGAAATACGAAACCGGAGGCCTATCTCAGTGCTCAATGTCTCCTACAAAATACTTGCAAAGATCCTTGCAAGGAGACTGGGACGTTACCTGCCAAATCTCGTCCAACCAGACCAGGCCGCTGTTGTACAAGGGCGCTCGATATTCACAAACATTGTAACTGTTGTGGAAATCCTTGAGATCATCCAGAAGGAAGCTCGATATTCACAAACATTGTAACTGTTGTGGAAATCCTTGAGATCATCCAGAAGGAAGATCTGAACTTTGCGGTCCTCCTTCTAGATCTAGAGAAAGCATACGACCGGGTGAGCTGGTCGTATGTTTTGACAACTCTGAAAATAATGGGGTTTGGAGATTTTTTTTTCATTTGGGTGTCCACCCTGTACACAATGTCTACAGCATCAGTAATGATTAATGGCAGACTCTCTCACGGGTGCTCGTTAACTCGGTCATTAAGACAGGGTTGCCCTTTAGCACCCCTGTTATTCGTGATCCAAATGGAATCTCTTCTAAACAACATTAGATATCATCAAAACATCATTGGGCTCCCCACGGGCTCCCTGGAATACAAAGTGAAGGCCCTCACTGACGACCTCTTCGCGGTATTGGCTAACACCCCACCCGCTATGAGCGCACTGAAAGAATGTCTGGAAGAGTATTCACGCCTGTCAGAAGCATCCGTTAATTGACACAAATCAGTTTACTTCCTCTCCTCCTTTGAACCTGCAGTGGAATGGGGCATGCGTAGGATTAAAGAAGATCAATCTGAGAGATTTCTGGGAATTCAAATCTCACGTCTAGCTTGTTCAGGAGACCAGGATGATCTGCTACTGTAAAAAACGCTACAGAGATTGATTTCCTGGGGCAAAGCTCCTCACCTTTCCTTATTTGGACGGGGCATGGTAATCAATGGAGCACTCTTTGTGTTGCTATGGTTTGTAGGTACAGTAAATGGGTTGGGGAAACATTTGTACATGTCAGACGCAGGGCAGCCAAATTTCTATGGAAGCGGTACGCAGGTGAAGAGGACCAGTTTCTGTCAAACGTAGCCTGGGAAATGCTGTGTCTCCCCCGAACCGAAGGGAGACTGGGTATTCTTGACCAAAAAAAACAGAATGAAGCTATGTTGATCAAGTGGATTCCGATTCGTTCTAGACCCTTCGGAAACACACTGGATCCAATTGGCATAACGAATCCTAGCTCGGGAATGGAATCTAAAACGACTTACAGACGTTTGGACCTGCCTCATGCTCTATTCCTTTCAGAGAAGATTTATCAAATCCCCATTTTGGAAAGCAGTCATCCAAGCCTGGAAATCCCTGCGCCCTGATGTCTGGGTCGAACCTAACACGAAAATTGAGGTCTTGGCACAACCGCTATTCGAGAATCCTCACATTCGATGTGCCTCAGGAATACTGTGGTGGGTAGCTTTGGTAGGCGCTGGATAGAAAAAGGGATACTACAAATCGGAGACATTTGGGATGAAATCAGAGGAACGTGGAAGACAGACCCTGACCTGAGAATGGAACTGGGACAGATTCGCAACTTGGAAATCAAGAAGAACACGTTAATTAATGCCATCCCTCCACATTGGAAAGAATTACTTGATTCCACCAGAACAGACCCGCCGGGCACATGGTATATCTCAAATGAACCAGACAATTCGACCCAGATATGGAGACTCACTCTGATTGAACCAGATGGGAAGAGAATCTTCCAAGGGTGGACACACTGCAGCCCAAACAGCCTGGTTATGTCAGAGCCAGAACACCAACCACAACTGGGGTCATCCTTGGTACAGATTAGGGTGATCGAGGAAATGAAGACTGGTGGAGAAATGCCATGTGCTATCTTTGCACAGGGGAAACCGATAAGTAAATTAAAACTAGACCCAAAAAAGTGGGAATGGCGTGCGGTTGGTAATGCAGGCCAAAACATGTGCCTCCTAGACTACACTCAGAAACTGGGTTATAGATTAATTCTACCAACAAAAGATCCCCTGGCCACAGCGACAACGAGATGGCAAGCTGTACTGACGATCCAACCACAGGATATTGCGGCAGCAATAAAAAGATGTTGGCAACAGTTGAAAATTTATCCCAAACCAGCGCCATGCTGCCATCTTGTGGCTCTTGTTGCTGTTGGCTTCACCTTCTGCAGTGTGGCTTGCAGAACATGGAATGACACTCGATCTTACCTGCATGCGCTGCCAATGGGCATTTGAATCAACGGTGCACTTATGGACACGTTCGGATTTTTTTTTTTACAGAAAGGGGCCCTTGAGGTCTCTTAGTGTATGGATGCTCCTTCCGCTGCAGTTTCACGGTGCTTCCCTGCTCGCAACGTGCGTGCGTTGGGAGGGAGGGTT